TGAGGTCGGATGATGTGGCGTGGTCAACACAACGATAACTTTGAACGCAAAACAATGCAACAGAGAACCAACCTCGCTTCCAAGTGGCTTTCCATTTTGGGCAAGTAGAAATAAGGGCCTGCGCCGATGCGGATGCTCTCTCGGGCGTTGTGGAAAAAGTAGACACCAAAGTCAAAGATAGACGCGGAAACGGGCTCCCCATCGACGAGGAAATGCTTTTCCTCCATATGCCATCCACGGGGTCTAAAGAATGAAGGCGAAGAAGGTCAGATGGGAGCACGAGACGCGAGGAAAAAGCGAAAATGCACACCTGACGAGCAAGGTCGCGATCTTTCCCTCGTTCAGCTTGTAGTACTTGCCGTTGGGTGCGGTGTAGTCGATGCGACGGTGGATCGCGTCTCTGAGATTCGCTTGACCACTGTGCGTTGGTGAGAAAGGAGGTATCCACGTGCTTGTTTTTTAGCCTGCGCCTCATTGCGCCTTCGAGGAAGCCTTGCTCACCTCAGACAGTTCTCCCAAGTGGGCGCGTTGGAATCTTCAAAATCAGCCATGAAGGTGGACGCGCCAGAGTTGAGTGCGTTGATGACCATCTTACGGTCGACAGGACCCGTAATTTCGACGCGGCGGTCCTGGAGCCCTGGGGCGGGAACGGCAGCCTAGAGTGCGTTGCAGCGTATTAGTCGCATCGCACCTTGTATCTACAGATCAGAGTCGTCACCTTCCAGGTGGGGTCCTCGCGGATCCACTTGGTTTGAGGCAAGAAGTCTGGCAACTTGCCCGCGTCAATCTCTTTCTGACGTATATTACGCGCCTCCAGGAGAGTCTTGCGCTGCTTGTTGAAGCAGCTGTTGCAGAGATGCCGTGTTAGTTCGTGTGCCACCACGCTGCCACGGTGCAACAGCGAGCAAGTTTACCGGTGAAGATGTGCCACGAAGCTCTGCACTTGCGGTGTGAGGACGTCCGCGTATTGCGGAGGAACGTTGCCGAGGACTTGGACGCCGCGTGCTGTCATGATTCGCTCGTGTTTTTTGGCACATCGGATTCCGTCCATTTCTCGCGACGCCATGAGCCCGTCACCACCCGAGCCCAGGTGCCACCGCACTCATGGGCTGCGCTGTATGGGAACTAATACCTTTCTTAATAAAGCTGAAGATATAGTCCCAACGACCGCAGTTGAGACCGGATGAGTGCTCTCGCAACTCGTAAATGATTTCCTCCATCTCAAAGGCGGCGAGGATCGTCTCGATAAGCACAGTTCCGCGAATGGTGCCGTGAGGGAGGCCAATGATGTCCTGCGCAAGGTTGAAAACGTCGTTCCAGAGTCTGAGGTCGGATGATACACAACGATAACTTTGAACGCAAAACAATGCAACAGAGAATCAACCTCGCTTCCAAGTGGCTTTCCATATATTGAGTTAAAGTCAGATTTTCGCAAGTGAAGATAGAGAGAAAACACCTCATCAAATTCAAACTTGGACTTCGACCTTGTTCACATCCCACAAAGACACCTGCCTCCCTCTCATCATATCATCACAGAGCCAAGAAATCCGCCTTCCTCCTGAAATACTCATCCAGGCGCAACTTGCTGTATTCCACGTATCAAAGTCAAGATCCGAATTCTCCGCTTGGAAGAGCGCCCAAATACCCCAGTACAAATGTGCCGCCAGTGCGAACTTGTTCACCTCTGCGTACAGCCGTGACACGTCCTCCTCCGTCACAGCCTCCCCACCCGAAGCAGTTTCGAGGTACTTACGCAGCCAAAAGTTCTGAAAGTCCGGAGATATGGATAGAGATGCCATTCACAGTCGAAACCGGCTTGCTCGCAAAAGTGGTTTCCAATAGCAAAGCCGCGCGGGTTGCAGGATCCGTATTCATAGTCAATGACTAGGAGATGTAGTAAGGGGGAAGCGACAATGTGAGTTGAGAATACTTTCAAGCCGAGCGAGGAATGGGGAAAAACACTCAACAGTCCACACGGTCTTTGTTCGCGTTGAAGATGATGTTTCCTGTCAGGAGGTCGCAGTGGCTATAAACAATAGGCGAATTATCTTTATCCAATTCGAGTTCCATATTGATGAGCTGTTTTTGTGATGGCAGAAGGAACCCCAATCAGACACGATACTCATAAACACGCGCATCGAGTCCAGTACCTCCTTCCTGAGTCGATCAAGGGAAATAAATGAACGGAAGCTCGCGTCCACAGCAACATGCGCTCTCCCAATTCCTATTGCACTCACTTTGTGATTCCATGTGTCTGCTACACAAGCTTGATCTTACTCAAATCCCAGCTGGGAAACACGCACGAAATCACCCTCCTGGGCCATACGGGCGATTAGTTATGCATTCGTTCCCATCCGCACCACAGCTTGAAATACTAACTAATAGCGGCCCATGCTTCATGGCAAAGTTGAGTGAGCGCACGCTGTCCAGGGCAGGTATCCCGGTCTTGAGCTGGTCCGAGGCTGACATTGGTGAGTGACAAGCTTTGCCACAAGAGAAAAAATTGAGCAGAAAAAGTTCTCAACAAGTTCTCATAATAACCTTCATCTGTCCATTTCACCTGGTTTGAATTGGAAGTAAGCCATGCTACATTGGAGCCCGAAACGAGAGATCTCTCCCCAAAAGACCACAAAATTACCCTCACCCGATACCTGTCAGGTGTTGCGCTTCTAAAGTGAATAAGCCAAAGAAAAAAAAAAGTTTTGGCAGGTCATCTATTTTCCAAGGCTAATCCAATCACCATCAAAATCCGTGTGAACAAGTCTGTCAACGGAACCTAACCACATCAAGAAACGAGACCACAAAAACACCTTGCCAGTGCAAATTCAACAAACCTGACAACATTGTTGAGCCTGTGCAGAAATATTAGCAAGCAACTGCTACACCATTTGTCCTGTGCATCACTCCACTCTCACAGAATATATTAGTTTGGTATATGCATGTTTTTAAAATTTTATAGCTGCACAAACTAAATGGATGAGAACAGACCTTGAGAAACAGTCCATGAGGAAACAGACAAGGCTCATTCTGTTATGCCTGCCTGAAAGAGCATACTGGATGAAGAAAGACTCAGAGTGCTATGAATCTATCTTACGGTGGAACTGATAAAGAGAGTCTTGAGCTGTGTTCA